CTTGAATAAAAAGTGAAATATTTTTTATGATGACAAGACTTCTGCCAAAGCCTTTACCATATAGGTGAAAAGAATGTATATATATATATATATTGTTTTGATAAGTTGACTTGACTTCAACTTATGATTACCAGGAATTTTATACATGCAAAGAAAGGAACTGTGGTTAAGTATTGGATAGACAGAGATGACTGAGATAGATCATTCGCCTTAAGGAGTCTGGTTGGGAGATAGGTAGCACAGACTGATACATTCAGGCAAATCATGATGTTCTGGAAGGCTTAAAGATTGATGTGTATGATTGACTCATACACAGAGTTTAGAGGAAGGATAGAAGAATGTCATCTGTTATAGGCTTAAAATTAAATGAACAGAGAAGGCTTTTTAGAGAGAGAACAGATTGGTGAGTCTTGAAAGGGTCCCAATCTTGAAATGTTATGCAAGAGAGCTTTAGGTTGAAGACCTGGGATAAGGACTCAGGACTAGATGGAAATATAAGATACAATCTCCAAAGCACAGAAACTTGCCTTGGGTCTTTCTCCCAAGTAAATACCTCTTTATATTCTGGTACTTTTACACATGAACCTTTTTATGTTTGTGACTATTTCATGTAAATTGAAGGGATCCCCAAAGGGCATCTTGCTCAGATCCTTGCCTCAAGGTCAGTCAACATAGAGTTTATCCAGATCACCTGGACTTGCTATGTTGAAATTTTTTTCCCCTTGAATAGGAAATGTGTTTCCCATGTATTCAAGTTTTGACCTATAAGGGTCCCAGTTCAAGGCCACTGATGACGCATTTATGAGCACTCTCAAAGCAGTGCTTTAAATTATAGGACTCCCCAGCAGCTACATTATGATCATTCAATCATTAGTTTTTTTCTTGAATAACTACAATGTGCTAGGTCTTATGAGAAATGTTGCCTACCTATAAGGAGCTTATCTTGCTGAGAAAATTAACATGAAACAATGAGCAGACAGCACAAGAGATTTAATTTCAACAGAAAGACAAAAATTATATTACTTTAGCCATAGAGTGATTAAGTCTACCATTGTTAGCAGATCTAGCATGGAAGATCTGAATGTCTTTGGTCCGTGTGTGTGCAAGAAAAATATCTACCCAAAGTAAACATTTTCATAATGCTGCATTAACCTAATACAGGGTTTAGAATAACAAGATCAGCTCATGCATTTTAAGATTGTAACGCTGTACTGATGATTTTGAAGATGCATCTGCCTGTGTTATTTAAATGAAATGTTATGCTGCCCTAACAGAATTTGAGGTGATGCTGATTGTCATCCTGGCCCTCCTGGGTCGATGTTCCCAATAATTGTACACAGCACTGAGGCAAGAGGAACTTAAGTTCCAGGAATGCATTTATGGTTAATCTGTTGTTCAGGTTTAGTCAGATAGCCAGTGTATTTTAAAGCAAGGCTCCGGCAAATGGGGATAGGAGAGAGAGGGCTCTAATAGAGTGGATAATTACCACTGCTCCCTATTTAACTCGGCCCTTCTGCCCCTGACCCTTTTCCCTTCAGCCAGCAAAATTGGAGGCTTTGTAATGAATACAATATGACTGCCCAGTTTGCTGTTAGAGAGGGACAGAAAATATCTGCATACCAAAACCCTAAAGAAATAAATACTGGGCAACAAATAAAAGTGGCGGAGGCGCATGAGCACTGTAGGAGGAGCAAACTTTTGTTAATGTATGCCTACCATGGAGCAAACTTCTCTTTCTCTTTCTTAGAGCATATTGCTAAATGAAGTGAAATAGATGTAAGGCAACTAGCTCAGGGCCCACAACAGACTTTTAGTATTTGTTTTCTTTGCTTCTCTACTAGTCCCCAATTCACATGCTCACCCTCATTGGATAAAAGGCATTTTTATATTACCTTCAGTCACCAGAAAGCTCACAGCAGGGTTATCAAATCTCTCATGTAATCCCAGATATGTTACTGAGTTTCTAGATGACTAGAGGCATGCCCCTTAACTTTGTTTTGCCTTTCTTTCTTCCTCTACAAAATGGATCTAATGATGCCTATCTCCAGTCACTGATTAGGGGGAAAAGTATTTTTATTTCTTAGAAAAGGAGCACAGAAATTCAGCCTGCAAATGAAGAGTGCTGCTAGCTTTGTCAATCTCAGACTGAAATGTCTAGGCACAGACAGAGGTGAGGCAGAGATTTATTTGAGATCTTAACTGGACCAGAAGTAGAATTCAGATTAGTTTTTTCTTCTGCTTAAAAATAAAATATGTACCTATTTAAAAATAAATAACAATAGAATTGGATAGCATTTTCCACACTATTTTTCCTAAGTCAAGTAAGAGTGGGGCAAAGC